CTCCCTGGGGATCCCAGCAGCGGCACCCACAGGGTTTTTCCTAGCCACGCACCCACCTTCTGCTCTTTGCGGGTCACCCATGGGCACCCAGCTCCCGGTGCTGGCAGCCGCCTCCGTCTCCCCAGTGTTTGGTGCGTATGTGAAATAAGGTCATTGCTCCATCGTCGTCCCCCCCGCAGGGCTCGGGGGGCCGGTGGCCGGCGGGGGAGTGCGGTGGTGGCCGGCCGGGGAAGGTGCCTATTGTGCGGAGGCAGCAAGGCGTGCTTGTGTAGCCAAGCAAGCAAATGTGCCGGGCGTTCGGCGCGGCAGACCCATGTGCCGCGGCCGGGAGGTGCCTCCCGTTCCCAGGCCGGTGTTGGAGGCGTGCCGCCAGCATCCCTGCTGTGGGCATCGCTGCTCAGGGGTCCCCGGGCCAACCTCCCCGGTGTCGGCACGGTGAGGGAGGACAGCCCAAAAATGACGGTGTGAGGCAGGGCTGAGACTCGCGTTAGGTTTCCTGCCATAAACAGCCCGTGCGGCTACGGACTCCGGCTTGCGGTGTGCCTTGGTTTCCCCATCTCCGTCATGGGCAGAGCCATGCTTCCAGCCCTCCTGGGCTTACTGGGAGGATAAACAGCGGTGGAGTCATGTGCCAGGAATCCAGGACCCCGGGATCCTCCTGGCCCGGTCTGTGACTCAGTTTCCCAGTCGCCGCGATGCTTGTCGGGTCTAGCAGGAAAACGCCTGCCCAGATGTGGCTGATGTTTCCTTCTGCTCCTGCTTGGCCCCAGCGGTGGGAAGCCAGTTATCGCCAACGTGCGAAGGGCTGCGTTCACACCCCTCTCGTAACCACATTAGAGCATCCTGGCTTAATGCTGGTATTTGTTTAATTGATCTAGATTTGCAGATGCTGAAAAAAGAGCACCGGTGGCGTAAATCGCCGAGCCCTGGCGTGGGAGCGGGTGGACGCTCGCCGATCCGCTCTAGTGCGAAGGCAGCCGGTTTGGTCCCAACCCTCTTGGCCGGGACAGAAGTCGTTCGGCCACCGATTTCTTCCTCTGCCCCTTGCTCAAAGCGGGTTTTTCTCCAGCAAATGTGGTGCCTGGCTCTCGCGAGGTCTTGGTGCTGAATAAAGCTGGGAGAGAGCCATGCAGCCTGGGTTTGTGCTGCCTGGTCCCAGGGGCACGCCGCCTCACCGGGGACGGGAGGAGAGGATTTCCCTCTTGGGATTTGCCCTGGAGCTGTTTGAAATAAGAAAGCTTTCTCATCTAGAAAGGCTTGGATCTACTTTTTTGAGCATTTGAATGCAAAAGAGAGTTCGTGTTTGAGGTTCATGGACTCAAAGGCAGGAGAGACGGCAGCAGTGGCTTTTCTGACCGCCCCGAAGCCCCAGCCGAGCTCTCTCTGCTTTGAACCCTGTGATGTGCTCCAGCATCATCCCGAGAAGCCATCCAGTCTGGACTTGAAGATGTCAAGAGATGGCAAATCCTCTCCTCCCCTGGGGAGTTTGTTCTGGTGGTTAATCACCTCGCTATTAAAAATGTGAGTTTTCCTCCTCGTTTGCATGCATCTGGCTCTCGCTCCCAGCCCTCGGCGGTTGCTCGGCGTCTCCGCGGGCTCGGTAAGGCGAAGCTGCTGCTTCTGGAGACGAGGCATCCATTTCCAGCCTCTCCACCTGAGCACCTTGTGCTGCCGAACCGGCTTTCCCCACTCTGCCAGGCAAACCATCCAAAAAAAAAAAAAAAATCCCCTTTCTTCCCCACCGGAGTGGCCAAGTTGCTCTGCCGGCACCGGAGCGGCGGCAGGACAAGGGGATGGCTGCTTGATTTACAAATTAACCTTGCAAAACTGCTGGGTTGGGGATTATCCTCCCTGCCAGGCTTTGCTAGGGAGAAGTTTGGCCGTTTTGGTAGGAGCAAGACCAAGGCTCCTCGTCGGCCGGAGCTGAGCCCTGTTCTGGATGCGGAGATCGCCCGTGGCTCATCCGTGGATCGTGCTGGAGCAAACCGTCCCACGCCGCTGCTCTGCCCTGGGAAAGGGCCCCAAAGCCCCTGCCCGTAACCTCTGCCCCGTCGCCAGCTTGTGATTGAAGGGCCGGGCTCGCCGCAGCCCTCTGCAGCCGTTCCCATGGCTCGTTGCTTGCTCCCCTTGGAAATGCGTGCCGCCTTCTCCCTCTGAACGCATCGACCTTCGTCTCCCGGCTCTGGCTTTGCCTTTGAGAGCGGATGGCTCCGGGGTCCCCACGCCACTGGTGCAGCCGTGGGGACCCCTGACTCGAGGGTGGACTTGAAGTGTGGCTGCTGCCCACGCGATTGTGGTGGCCGAGGAGCGTTAAATCCCGGGCTGGTGCCTTGAATCGCTGAGATGTGTTGGAAAACCCCGTCTTGATTTCGGCTGATAAATCAGCGTCGCCTCTCCAGGAGTGCCTGGCTCTGGCTGGAGCGGGGAGGCGCGGGAGCGGAGCTTGGGCTGGCTCTGGCCACCGCAGGGAGGGTCGCATCCAGCGGCAGGCGGCCGTGCGGTGCCCGGGTACGGGGCAGGGTGCCGATGCGGCGTGGAAGTGGTGCCAGGGCAGGTTTGGGGCTGTAATGGTGTCTGTGGGGTGTTCAGCCCACCCTTCTTTTCCTCCCCTGCCCATCACTCTTCTCGGCTGCTTGCCAGGGGTCAAGGCCAAGCGAGGAGCTCTCGTGGGGTGGGTGCCCCCACGGGAACCGGGGGGGGGTGACCTGCGGGACAGGGATTTTTGGCTGGCGGTGCCCAGTGTGACGCGCTGCGGCGCTCCCCCAGACACGTGGCTGGGTGGTCCCGGTCCCCGGGGAGGGGATGCCGCGAAGCATCCCTGTGCGGCAGGGATGCCTGGCTCCTGATTTCCTTCTCTCTTGCCTCCCCCAGCACGACCGCGGACCCCCAGCACAACCGCCCATCCCGTGAGCGGCCCCCCATGCGCAGCCCCCCTCCGGTGCCCGCCAGCTGGATGCCGTCCCCGCCGGAGGCTCAGGATGCCCCAAGTGCCTCGGTGACCACCGGGACGGGGGACAGCACCCGCCTGCAGCCGCCTCCCCCTGACCTCCCGCACCGCCCCGCCGGTGAGTCCCCTGCGTCCGTCCCCTCTCCCAGTATCAACCGCCTAATGGTGTTAATGGACCAGACTGGGGCAAGCCTGTCCTCGGCCCCCTGCGCCGATGGAGGCAGCGGCCGAGGCCCCGGCATTGTTCCCAGCAGAAACCCGATCCCTGCCTGCAGACAAAGCCCAGAAGAGGGGGGCTGGCAGGAGGTTTGGGGGGGGCACAGGGGGGTCCTTTCTCTCCCAGTCCCTTCCCCCATCGCTCGCTGGGGATGCTGGGACGAGCTCCCGGCCCTGTTGCCATCTCCTAGACAGCATCTGGGACAAAAGGACCCCCCCTCTTTTCCCCTCCTCGACCCCATCTCCCCCTCCCCGAGGCCTTGGAAAAGAGGCCAAAAGACATTTGGGTTTTATTTGGTCGAAATGGCATTTCCGTGGTAACCCGGCACGGGTCCACCCCCAAACACAGCCGGCGCGGCCCCCCTGGTGCGCAGTAAAGGCTGGGGAAGGGGGCTTTGGGGCTCTGGGGGATGCCTAATGCCTGCAGCCCCCCAGCACCCTTAGGGTGAGGGCAGGAGGATTTGGCAGGACCCCTCCGATGGGGTCCGGCGTCCCCCGGCACGGGTCAGGCAGCGCGACGGCCCCTCTGCCTCCCCGAGGGTGGCTCCCACCTCTGTCCGGGTCCCCTCCCTGGTGGGATCACGGACCCAGGCAGGCCAGCACCGAACCCGCATCGGGGCTGTAAGCAGCTTGGGAGTCCCCAAAACCAGCGGGGTGACCCGGGCTGGGACCCCGGGAGACCCCCAACCCCGGGAGACCCCAGCTCCCGCCCGCATCCCCTGAGCCTTTGCCCAAGGTCAAGGTGCCCTGCACGGCCCGGCTGGGATCGAAGCAAGGCGTTACCTTCCCAACCCAGCAGAGATCCGGCACCATCAGTAGGCGTAGGTCGGTATCATGTGCGTGTGTGTATATATTTATATACGTCTGTGCCACAAATGGCTGTAATGGGAGTTTGGGGTTGGCTAATAACGACGTGGCAGCCGTGAGTCAGCGCGCGGGGTGATGGTATCTGCTCCGAGCCAGCCTTGCGATGGTGGACCGGTCCCTGGATGCTGCGGGGGTGGCCCAGGCCAGCGGTCCCATCCTCGGAGCCACCGCGGTGGTTCCCGGCAGCCTGGGAGCTCCCCGCTTCCCCCGGTCCCGGCAGCCCCAAGCTCTCCCCGGCTCGGGCCGCGGCTGCGAGGGGAGGTGGAGCCGGCGCGAAGCGATGCTCCTCGGCACAGATCGGGACTCCTGTGCCGATCTCCTGGGTGTGAGATCCCGGCTCTGTGCTGGGAAACATGTCCGGGCAGAGCCCCGCGCTGCGAGATGGGCCTGAAACGTTGCCTGCACCCAATTATTCATTCCTTTTTTTTTTTTCTTTTGGCCCCCACCCTAGGCACTCTCTTGGCAGTTAAAATAATGATAGTGACATTAATTAAAGTGTAAATCACCCAAAACAGCAGCTAATCATGCAGTACCATTAATAAAGGGGAAGGTGGCCATCCCGGGCCCAGCTTGGGCATGGGATAAAATACAAAATGCCCCAAAGGGACCCAAATTCCCTCTCCCTGCTGAAGTCCCATCCCCATTTGCCACCGGGGCTGGAGCTGTGGTGGGGCAGGGATGGTGGGCGAGGGGACGCTCACCGGCGGCTGGGACCCCCGGGGGGTTGCCGGGATGCTGCCGTGCTGCGCTGACCCTTCCCTTCGCCTCCGCAGGCGGGCGAGCTGTTTTCTCCTGAGACGAGCCCAACCAGGTGATCAAAATAGAGTCCCTCAAGGTGACGGTTGACTTCTTGAAGGTGCCCCTGGGCCTGAAGAAGCCCCCTCTGAAGGAGGCCCTGGCCGCCGTCCCGGGGCCGGGGAGACCCAAGCCCCTCGGCGTGGAGCGGCACAAGCCCCGGCGCTCCGACAACATGGACAATGAGTCGCAGTACTCGGGATATTCCTACAAGTCCGGGCATTCCCGCAGCTCCCGCAAGCACAGGTGAGGGGTCAGTGCACGTCCGGGGGGGTCCCTGGCCCCAGTGGGTGCTGCCATCCCAGTGCACCCACCCTGCTCCCCTCTCTTGCCTTCCAGGGACCGGCGGGACCGGCATCGCTCGAAAAGCCGGGACGGGAGCCGCGGGGACAAGTCAGTGACCATCCAAGCGCCAGGCGAGCCCTTGTTGGACAACGAGTCGACTCGGGGGGATGAGAGGGTGAGTTGGGCAGGGGGGAGGGATGGGGTCGGCGTCTCTGCCCCGCCATGGGGATGCTGCCGAGGGTGGGAGCCGCTGGCGGGGGGCGGGGGCGTGCAAATGAAAGGGGACTGGCTGACGCGGCGCCCCAGGGAAGCAGCCGGGCTGGGCACGGGCTGCCCAGGGTGGAAAACACCCTGGGGATCCACTCCCTAGGGATTAGCTCCAGCTCCTCACTCGGCGCCTGCAGGTGATGCTGGCTCGGCCATGCCAAGGCGTAATAACCCCAGCCCAGGTCCGGGCACGATCGCCCCGGTGAGTGGGTTGGTGCAGAGGCTCCCGCGCTGCATCCCTCCGCCGGCTGCCCTGACCCCGCGGTCCCACCGCGATCCCTCGGTGCGAGCGGCAGCGGGGGCAGCATTGCCGTGCCCCCCACGCTGGGTGCCAGCACTCCTCCAGCCGCCGCGGAGCCCGATCCCTGGCTTTAATCCTCTCCCAGCCACCTACGCAGGCGGCTCCGGCTCTTTTCATCTTCCCCCATCAAGAAGTCGGCACCGGCAGAGGCTGGGGGTTGCGGGGGGGGGGGCC